GTAGGCTCCTGCGAGCGCGTGCTGCGACGCGAGCCGCGCGGGGTGATCTTCGGCGAAATGGCGATTTCTCCATTGGCAAGCCTCTTCCAAACTCCTAGCAGCTTCTTTGATCCGTCCATCTACTGTCAAACACTGTCCAACCCAGAACAACAGATCGGATCTCTCCTCTATATCGAGCTCTTTGCTCTGCTGCAATACCCTGAAAGCATGCGGAAGGTACTCTCTCCACACGTTGCGATTCGCATAGTCGTCAGATGGGAAAACCGTTGCAATATGTCGAATCGCCTTTTTACCCGTCGTTGCCGTCAGGCCTTCTCGCTGAACCCAGATTCGCGTTGCTAAGTGTACCAGACCGTGCATGTCGAATACGTTGCTGTCCTCCCGCCTGGTCAGGAAGGCATACGAGCATAACGTCCCGATCGCATCGACTAGCTGTGCTGTCGACTCGGAGTCGGGAAACAGCGACTGAGGTATTCCTTTGGGCTCGATGCACGATATAAACGAGAGCAGATCGGCAGCAGCGTTGTCGGACTTGCGGATCTGGTCGAACGATACAAGCCAGGTTGTCGCCACCGCATTCTGCGACCCTGCGTATCGAGTATTGTCCCGAAACTCTTTGCTCATCAGGCTGACGATGTCCTGCTGAGTGCCGTGGAGCAGCTTGACGTACTCGGCAAGGGACACCTGTTTGATGTTGATATAGGCCGCCGCCTGTGAAATCGCTAGGGGAAGGTAGGTAAGCTCCTTCAGCAGCTCTGCCGTCGCCCCTTCATCGCGGAGCATATCCTTCTGAATCAGCGACTTCTCTAGAAAAACAGCCGCCTCAGGTTGGTCCATCGCGTTCAGCTCGATCACATCGCTTCCGGTAACCGACACGGCTACTTCTCGAGACCGTGTCGTAAACAGGGTGAGGCCATTGTCGCTCTCAGGAAGGTAGTCGCTGATGCCGCCCGGCATATCTGCAGAGCCAAAGAGAATATCTCTGTCATCTGCATTGTCCACCACAAGAAGCCATGGCCCGGCGGCCTCGGAGCTTAGGTACCGTCGCACGGACACCTTCAGATCATCGTCATCGCCGCCACTTTGGATGGGGAGATTCCTGGCCATCGCGGTGAAGGCCTGTTCAAGTGTCGCCTTGCTCAAGGCAGGTACCCAGAAGATCGAGAACTCGGGCCGGTGTTTCTTTGTCCAGTACGCCAGCTGGAGGGCGACCTGGGTCTTGCCGACACCGCCAAGGCCGACAATGGCGGCTTTCCGGCACTCCTTGCGCACGAAGAGCATCTCTTTGAGAGTGTCTAGCGTTTCTTTCCGTCCGACAAAGCGCCGATTCTCGGGGAGCGGAATGTAGTGGCAAGGGAGTGCGGCACGGTCTGTAGCAGGTTTGGCAGTTGCTAGCCGATATGGCATTAGCAGGTGCTCTGCAGCAAGCGTTCCCTAATCCTCCCCGGTAGACCTTTACGTACCAGGCAGCGAGGGCACCCAGTAGCTCAAGAATGCCTTCATACATGCCGCCGCCGTCGCCGCCGCGTACCGCTGCCACGCCTTAGTCTTGTGGCTGTCCGCGTAGTCGCACGCACCCTTAATTACCACACAAGGGAATATATCCCAAACACCGGCGCTCTCCATCTCAAACCCTACAACACCCGCCTCTCGTGCAATGTCATCACGGTCCTTGCCCGACTTCATGACCGTGTCGCCCGACGCAATCAGGCCAAAGTGAACCGCAGGCTGTCCATCGCCCTGCTCGAGGCGGGCACGCGGCACCAGCTTGCCGTCGCAACCGCACTCCTCGCACGACATCCCGTCCCTCACATGGCGATACGTCGCCTCAAACAGCTTGTCTTGCGCAGCACCGGGGTACGCGGCCGCCAGCTCCGGCTCGCCCCGGAGCACGTCCATGTAGCCGGCCATCTTAGCTTGCAGCATCTTCCGGCTACGAAGGCCCCTGAGCTTGGCAAGCAGCGCGCGGATCTCGGTGTTCGGCCTGCCCAGGGTGTCCAGAAGCGTGTCCTTCGGCACGAACTGTTCGGGCAGTCGCCGTCCGAGGTCGTACTGCACGACACCATCGCTGACGATGACGTCGCCTAGCACGGTCTCGGCCGTCCCGCCGCTGCCGCCAGGACGAAAGGGAACGACACCGCAAACGCCAACGACGAGGGCCAGCTTGATGTTGGGGAAACTCGCGCGGCAGTTGGCGGCGACGGCCGCGGCGCTGGCTTTGCCCATGCCTGGCATGTGTGCGAGGACGACGTTGTGGCGGCCGATGGCGCCGGTGGAGTATGCGTTGGGATCGCCCCCGGCTTTGTCGTAGGGCGCCCCGTCATCGTCCCAGTGGTGATCGAAGAGGGCGTCGACGGCATCGGCTTCGATTGGGAGAGCGCAGATGACGGCAATCTCGAAGTCGGCCCGCGCAGCTGGGCGCCGCGGCCGGGCTGTGTTCATCGGTTATTGCGCCGGAGTCGGCTCCGGAAGGCCGGTTGAAATCCCGTCGTCGGGTCGGGTCCGTGTGGGGTCAAGGTGTGTGCCTGTCTTCCGTAAATGTGGGTTTTTGGCGGAGAGGTGGGTTTGTTGAAGCTGGGGCTTCCCTGCCTCCCCTGAATCCCTCTTTTGCAGCCCGAACCATTTGGAACGAGCTAATTTTAGCACCAGCCTTCTCGGCGCTAAGCGGCAAGGCTGGGCCAACCCTCAGAAGTCTCCTGTGCCATGGAAGCCATCGCCACCGATCGTTCCGGTGGATCGTGCCCAGCTGCCGGCCCGGTTGCTGCGGCTTTCGGCCTCGGCTGAAGAGTCGGCGCATTCTGCCACGGGTGGGAATGTGCGTCTCAGTCCGTCAGGTCGTGATCCGGGAACTTGGATCCTCGCGCTTAGGCCCACCTTCGAACCCCACCAGAGCGGGTGGATCACGACCTGACGTCGACGTACCGGAACCAGGGCCGGTTGGAGGAGGCCGAGAAGCTGGAGGTACAGGTGATGGAGACTCGCAAGACGAAGCTCGGGGCCGATCATCCCTCGACGCTGACCAGCATAGGCTACCTGGCGTCGACATACCAGGGCCAGGGCCGGTGGGAGGAGGCCAAGAAGCTAGAGGTGCAGGTGATGGAGACGAGCACGACGAAGCTCGGGGCCGATCATCCCTCGACGCTGACCAGCATGGCCAACCTGGCGTCGACGTACTGGAACCAGGGCCGGTGGGATGAGGCGGAGGTACTACAAGCCAAACAACTTGAACTGTGTTCGATGAAGCTAGGTCAACGGCACCCCGATACTCTGATCAGCATGAAGAATCTAGTCTTTGTTTGGAAGGGCATGGGTCGCCACGAAGATGCTCTTGGCCTACTACAATCTTGCTCTGATCTCCGGCAACAGGTGTTAGGCGCAAGTCATCCGTACACGGCGTCTACGCTGTCAACTCTGAAGGCATGGCGAAAGGAGAACGAACAGGGGCCAGTACAGTAGTCTCAATTATTGTGATGAACAACGCGTCAATTGATTCTATTCTCTTCCGCTGCCACTGTCCCAAAGTTATGGCTAAGCCAGTGACAATACTAAACGCAAACCACTGTCATGAGGGCGGATACGCGTTTTGCCTGCTCCTCTTGCTCCTGGCGCAGGTCAGCAGGGCAGTTAAGCACTGTGCTGGACTGTGGGGGACATTTGACAGTGGGAACAGGTACGGTGTAAGCGCCAAGAGGACCAAAACAGGCCCCCGGACAATTCAACAGAGAGTAAAAAGTGGAAGCCGATTTCGCTAGTGACTGTATGCCCAAGCAAGGCAACCTCAGCCTCGGCCTCTGAGACAGAGCTAGATACAATAGGATATTCAAGCTCTAAGATGGGAGAACCCGTTAATGCATACTTAGCTCGGCTGATTATCTTGACGTCTGCAGGATGTCCGTTCTCTTTGTTCGGTTATGTTAACTTGGTTAACTTTATAAACAGATCAACTAGCGGCCGCAATTTTCGGGTTTCTATACCCCAAAATTCTTTTTGACTTTGCAACAAAACAGCTCGATTGTCTTATTACACCGATACCATTTCTGCAGATTCTCAATGTTGCCCTTAGCCTGGTTGTTCTCTGCTGGGAATGGCCACTCTATTACGTAGCGGAATTATCTTTACAACGAAAGATCTTACCTCGTCTTATCATCTACCCAGTAGTCTCAGCAGCAGCAATAGGATTATACCAGGCAACAAATGCCGCTTTATATTATCTGATTGGGACTTTAGTTTACCTCTTGGCCTATATTTCCGAGCGCGAGGGATAAATATTGGACTCGTTCTCTCTATGCTTCTATCCGTCGTTGATAGATTGCTGGAAGAGAGATTTGCTCTATCGCGCTATAGCACAGGATAATTCTTACAGTCAGGGTTCAAAAGTTTCCATACACCCCACTTAATTAAACGCGACTTTCCACACGTCGCGACGCCCCTCTTCTCTTCCAACACAAACAACTCAACGCCATGAAGCTCAATTTAGCTGATTTCGGAGCCAAATTGACAGAGAATCGCGGCCGTAACGGGGAACTATTACCAGTCGCTCGTGCAGCTATATGTTGTGCTGTAGCTTGCGGTAAAAATTACCGGGCTGTAGCAGACGCGTTTGGCGTCTCCTTCGGCGCTGTGCAAGAATGCCTTCGACACTGGGAAACTCAACACACCTTTGATTCGAAGCCTCGAAAAGGCGGTCCTCATAAGCTCTCGCGATTGGAGAAGCGGTATATCCTAACTCTTTTAAAGAGAAACCGGGATCTCGCTAAAAAGGCTCTAAGTCTCCTACTCGACGATACGTCGATGCCTCCGCGCTCACAACCTACGCAAATGGAAAGCAAAAAGAAGAATACCTCTCTCGAAGGAAGATGCCCAAAAGAGGTATGACTGGGCATATGCGTGGCTCGAAGATATTGAGGAATTGTTGAGAGTTCGAACCCTCGATTCGATATGTTGCTTTCCTTAGTTAATCTAATCTTGACGTTCTTTTCCGATGAGTGTTTCTTGTCAAAATAGCACTTCAAATCCGACTGCTTGGGTGTTCCGTTTCCCTTCCGAGAAGTTTGACAAGCAGTTTGTCAACTTAAAGAACCATGTTAAAGCGAATATCACGATCATGGTTTGGGGAACGGTATGGAGGGGTGGTCGAAGTGAGCTCATCGTCATGGAGAGAGATGAGGACGCCCCTCGCAACGGATATACAGCCAAGTCTTATCAAAAGGCTCTCCAGGAAGGTCTTCTACCTCGTTACGACGGTACAAGGCATTTCCAGCAAGACAATGCTAAGATTCATGTCTGTGAAGTCACCCAAGGTTGGCTTGCTGAGCATGGAATCGAGTGGATGGACTGGCCTCCACATAGCCCAGATCTGAACCCCATTGAGCATGTTTGGGCGGCTCTAAAAAGGAACCTTAAGAGGACGTTCCCTGATCTCTGGGAACTCAAAAGGAACGAGCTCAATATTGAAGGTTTCAAGGTGAAGTTGCGCTCGGCGTGGTGGGCTATTGACCAAGCCCTTATTGACAGGCTGATCGACTCGTTGCCTCGCCGGCTTGCCGCTGTCAAAAAGGCTCGGGGTTGGTATACAAAATATTGAAGCATGGGAACTAGGCTACTATCCGGATATAATAGCTTTTGCCTATCTTTAATGGTTGTTGAGATATCCGTTGTTAAAGAAAGGTGTATAAAAAGTTGGTGGCTGGGTTTAGTGGGGCGTATGGAAACTTTGACCCCTCACTTTACGTTATATTTATGGACCAGGTCTCAAGTATTGAAGGAGTAAGAACAGGATAACGTTAGTCCGAGCTATTATATAGTAGGTAAGATAACTTTAGATTAACTCAAGGTTGGATTATTAATATTCTCTGAGCTTTAAGCTAGATTGAAATAGGTTTGTAAGATATTATTATTATAGTATTATTCCTACACCGCTACGCCCTAGGTCGTGCCGGTCCAGCTAACTACTGTAGCTAGCTGTACAGGAAGACCGTGGTAGCTACCCTAGCAGGGCAAAAAACCTGTACCCGGTATTACCTTGGCCCGTCACTTCAGCATTCATCGCGCTACTGTCGAAAGGAACTCAGCCAGCTCCCTGCATTCCCACATCCTGGTCGCCTGCCTCCAGAGTAGATGCAGCCCCTGAAGCCGTAACCTCCGGGCCTGTCGCGCTCTCCTTGGCGTCCGGTCAGATCTGTATTGACCCTCGTCGCAAAGGTCAGCTTTCCTTGCCGCAAATTCGCTGTAGCCTCCTCCTGGGCTATGTGAAAATTGGGGGGTCGACCCCGAAGTCTCTTCCTTTTTCCTGCTTCTTGGAAGCCATCGTCGGCCTCCTCCATGGTGTTCGCGCCCCGGAAACTAACATGTCGCATTTTCGGTAAGAGTTGCTGTTGTTGTTGTTATTGCTGCAAGGCAAGCTCAAAGATCTGGGGCCGGAAATGGCATGCCTCCCTCGCTGCACCCCGGACTTTAACTGCTTCCGGGCACCACCGTACCCAGACCGGGTGCCTCCCTGAACAACATGGACAGAAGAGAGGAATCTCGTTGCCACGGGTTGGGTATTGGACCTTCCCCGCCCCTCCCGCTCTCCCACGTGGGCCGCTGTACCGCATCGCGGGCACAGCGCAGACTTCTTGCAGAACCGTTGGGTATGCCCCCAACTCCAGCACTTGTAGCATTGGCTGGCCTGCAGCGCAAGCCAGTACGGCTCACAGTTGAGCATCTGGGCCCGCCAAACAACCCCCTCCTCGCAGGCTTTTTTGTCTCTTTTTGACTAGTCAGCGTGACTAGTGCCGTTGCTCTTGTGACTCCCTCGATCGCTGGAATCCGGAACTTGACCTCTTTGACCGATGTCAGCCCTAGCTGTTTGCCGAATAGTAATGTCCTTCAAGTCCCGTTTTGACATTCCCTTCACTAGGACCGCAAAGGTCCTCCTCGCCTCCCTCGCTGTCTCTCCAAGGCAGCCCCTATCCATCCTCCATTCCTCGCGTGCCATTCCTTCGTTTCAGCGTCCTGAAAGGTAACGACAACGTCACCGCTCGGCCGTGCTGCAATAGCACCCTTCTTTCCTGAAATTCCGTCGACTGTTTGGACGATCTGCTGGGGTGACCTCCCAGACAGTGACGGCTCCGTGGAACCCCTCACCAGTATCTCCTTGTTGAGTCGTCCCGGGATGATCTTCTTTGGGAGGTTTCCTTCTCCGGCGACCACTGCAACCCAGGACCGGGCTACCTTTGTCGCCGGTACCGGGGCCTCCCTCTTTCTCTGGGCTTGTTGTTCTCTGTGGGTTTCTTGCACGCTCCAACACGGCTGCCACCACTGCTACCCTCGCCCCAATCAACTTCGACTTTGCAAACGGTGGAGACAACGACGACTGCTTCCAAGTGGTCGGTAGAAAGATGATGAGAGGAAGACCGACAAGTGCAGCCGCAGCCCAGTATCAGGCTGCTCGGAACCCGCAACAGACCAGAATCAACTTCGAGCCGAACAGGGTGCGGTTCGCAAACCCGTTGGCAACCGATGCTAGCAACACCGCCCCCGCCTGAACAAACCTCCGAACAAGCTACTGAGTTGACGTCAGCCACAAACACTGCCTCTGCGGCCACCGCCGCCTCCTCACTAGATGGAGAAGATACAGTGATGGACTCTATCACCGTCCGAGAGGATGAGGTGTAAAATCCTACTCTGGAACACCGAAGGTAACAAGCAGGCTTTGGAAGTCCTGCTTGAGGAGGTCAGATACGACCTTCTCGCGGTGCAAGAGCCGTGGATCAACAAAGAGACAAGTCAACATATTGCCCCCGGAGCAGCAAAATACCACCTCGTGTTGAAACTCGAGAGCCGGGCAGCGATATAAATCAGCAAGCGGTTTGACATCGGACAGTGGGAGTTTAGAGCGTCGGAGAACTGGTGCCGGGTGTGGTTTCCCAAGATGGATCTTGGCCAGGGAAGCCGTGGCTTTGAACTGTGGTCTATCTACAATCCTCCAAGCAGCAAGGAAGTGCCGAGTACCCTCTTCGCCGGCCATAGCCGAGTCGCCCAGTGGTTTTGGCGAGAGATTTCAACGTACAACACCCCCTGTGGGACAGGTTCGAGCCTTACGACGGAAGAGCCGATGACCTCCTACGGCTGAGCTCCCGCTGGGATCTCGTCATCCAAACGCCAAAAGGAGCAGTCACACGAGCCCCACAAGGGCAGCAGCGAGGTCGTACATCAACCATTGACCACTTCTGGACTTCGGCGGACCTACAAACAGTGTATTATGGCGAGGAGTGCCGGGAAAAGTCAGACCATTACCCACAGGTGCTTGAGGTGGGAGAAGGGGACGGTCCGAGGCTAGCCCAGCCAGCCGGGTGGGACTGGAAGAAAATGGATAAAAAGAGAGTGAAAGCAGAGTTAGAGCTCCTGTACAAGGCCATTGGGCTCACAGACCCAAGACCGGACCGTCTGATGGTCAGAATTCGTACCGTCGACGGGCTGAGCAAGGCCTTTGACGATGTAACACGACTGGCTGACCTGGGTCGCGGGCGAGAGCACCCCCCCGAAGAACGCGAACTGCGCTTCCAGCTCTCCTTGGTGGACTCGGGAGGTGGAACAAGCCACTCGAGAGGCAAAAAAAGCTGAGAGACTGGCTGAAGCCCGCACAGACTACTACCGGGAGCAGCTCAATGAGAGACTGAAGGAGCGTGCCAGAGCAATCCAGGAAGCCCGAATGAGAATCTGGAGGAATGGGGTGCAAGAGGCAAGCGAAGCGAAGAAGCCGGACAAGCAAGCGGGGAACAGCTAAGGCGAGGCAGAGCTTGCTTCGCCCGATTCTCATTTTGAACTGTAGGCTCCGATATGTTTATATACTATAACGTTAACGATTCGTTCTCCACTGCATTGACATCGGTACCACGTAGATCTGCCGATAAATGGCCTGATTAGTCCTCAGTCATCCCATGTGGAGGCCTGAACTGAACCGAGACCGCCTCTCCCAAAGCAGCCGCCCTCCCTGGCCGCCGCTCTGGGTGCCGACCTGCCAAGAGCTTCCCCCTATCGCTCAAGGGCGTCTCACCAAGCCGCCCATTCTCGACCCACATCTCGTACCTCTCTGGTGCAATGATTCTCATCAGCTTCTCAGTGACATAAAACCGTCCCTGAACGTCGGTCTCGCAGCACAACTTCTGGCTCTCAACCATCACCCAGCTCCACCGCATCGACCGATCTGTCTCAATGGTGTTGAGCGTCGTGAGCTCCTCAACAAACGCCGGGCCGAGCGTCCCGGCGCGAACCGTACCCGGCGGAAAGGGCTGGGTCAGGGTGGAACGGATGGTGCAGTAGACGTCGCCTCTAAAGTATAGAGTGGAGCAAGGTTGTTGTTGAAATGTTTCGACAAGCTGGATTTCCTTGACTAGCATTACCAAGGTGGGGCTACTGGTCATTGACCTTAGCCCGGCTTGGGAGGCGATGGTGGTGTTGACGCGGACAGGGTCACCGACGCGGATCATTTCGGCGCCAAGGTAGACTCCCTCATAGGTCTTAGTACGGAGCGTGGCGTCGACAGTGGCGTCCTCGGAGGACAGGCCGTAGGTGGAGTAAGAAGCGTTGATAGCACGGGCGGCCAGCTTTGAGGCTTCAATGCTGTAATGTTGAAGCGCCCTGGCCCTGCTCCTGACGTCGGGAATCTCCATGCAGCGAGTTATTACGACTTCCCAGTCGACCATATCGAACGTGAAATCCTTGAGCTGGTTCATGAGAGGCGGGATCAAGTAGGTCAGAAACGGCCGCATGGACTGGCAGTCTTCTACCACGTTTGCTTGTGCAATCATGGCGTGGCCCAGCGGGGCGAGAGTAAAATCGTACCGGGAGTCTGTTGCGTAATGACCTGCGGTTGTGTCGGGCCTCGTTGTGATGGAGAGAACCACCCCTAGACGCCATGTAGTAGTGTGCCTGTACCAAACCAATTCACCGACACGGAAAATGTTGGTTGAGCCAGTTGTTCCTGGAGGACGAGCGGGCGGAGTGGGCGAAACGGTCGGATGCGGTAAACATCTGGCCACACCACAGCGGGTAACGCGAATGTGCCGTTTTCCTCGCAGCGACTGGGAGCGACAGATTGGGCAAACAGAGGCTTTACGAATGCAACTCTCACAGAAGGTATGGCCTTATCCTCCCGTTAGTAACATAGGCTTTGGCCTAGGCCGAATACTTACCGCATGAGACCGCCACCAGAGCTCTTTCCTCCCAACAGATTGGACAGTCTCTGTCACCATAGAGTTTCACTGTCTCCAGTGGGTTGGAGCCTGGCAAAACGTTGGTACAATCCGCGCAAATGACCTTTCCTAATGTCAGTGTCGACAATGGCGGTAGGTAGACCGACTTACATAGCCAGATTCTTCAGCAGGAACTTCAAGGAGATACCTAGTCCGGGACTGCCCTCCTTCTGATACCACTTCGTGACAAAACCAGCAGTTCTCGATATTATCACCCGTCAAGTCGATCGTAGTAACATGTAGTGTTGCCATGACGCCGACATCGATAATTCGGTAAGCAGAAGAGTTTTATGGAGCTGGAAGATCCGCAGGAAATCACGACGAGTTTAAATAAAAGTAAGAAAGGCAGTCGGCCGCTCTGGGCCGGTCAAGAGCGCGGCCAGGGTGTGCTGTAAACGGATCACGTGCCGGCGTGCTTAAGCAGAGAAACACCCGCGTCATCAGAGCGCGCCGGAGCAGCAGGACAGCGATATTTAGCAGTTCTGGTTTCATTCCTCCTTCAGACTCGGTCGACATACTCCTTAATCGTAAAGTCCAAGTCGGTCTCAATACAGCATTGGGCCGTTGTGTGCTGAAAATCAACTGCTCCTCCCGCAATGCACGTCTCTCGGCACTTACAGGGCGGACCCCCCTCGAAGCTCTGCTAACTTCAACAGTTCCTGCCCCTCGTCGCGCCCTCGCCAAGTTCTGGGCGTGCCCTTGCTTGTCCGGATCTAGTAGCATATGCAAGTGAGAATCTTAGTCACGCATAATCCGGCCTTCGACGACATGTCCATTGGCCCTAATGATGTGAGGGATTGCACACTGTGTAAGCGTGCACGCATCATCCAACCAGTCCCCTCCCTGAGTTTCTATGTCATCAGACAATGGCAAGCCGCGAACAGGATAACATGCACAAGGAGCTACTCGTCGGGGCTTCGAAATCGCCCAACCGACTGTCCTAGTCGCCAAAGCTCCTACGAGTATGGGTCAAACCGCTCTGGCGAAAGTTAGCCAGTTGAAAGTGACTGCAGCGCCTATTTCCCCATACCATATCTCGACATATATTCACTGTTCCAGCGCTTAAAGATCCCTCAGCTTCGACGTCAGAATGGCTTCTCGGTCACCTGGCCCTCTTGGCGGACAGAAAGTCACCTCCCACAAGGGACTCTTCCTGCGGTAATCTCGCTGTCACAAATAGTTCACTCATCCAACGAAACTTGCGCGTCACCAGCAGCGACGTCAGTGGTCCGAACTGTCATTGTCTTATAGAAAAGCCGACCGGGACCCACCGCCGTGCTCGCTGGCGAGTACGGAGTGGATCTTGTTGTTCCATGGTCTGGGCACGACTCCTCCTATTGGCCAATTTTTGCAAACGCGAGGATGTTTTTCCGTTCACGTGCATAGCCCCCCGTTCTCCCGTGTTCTTCCCGTTCCTCCACGACGCTGCTTCCAGACTGCTCTCGCTCTCTCCACCCCGCTCTCTCCACCTTGCTCTCTCCTTCATTGTTGTCTCAGATGACTTGCTTTTGGTGCGAAGTTTCCAGATCTTCGGATACTCCAAATGATAGAGTCCATCCTGATGCACAAGGACAGCTTTGTTGGAATGGGGTCCTCGTGGGGAAGTGTGAAGTTCGTTGCAACTGCGAAGGAAGCGGCGGCGTTGATGACAGCATGGTACTGTCTTGGCTCTGTCACGACCGTTTCTCCTGGCGACCGGCCTTCCAGTGCCGACCCACCTCGCATTGTTGGTACTACTCGAACACCCCTCCCGTCTGCCCCACGGCTTGCTCAACGTCCCGGCGGTCGTCTTGGTGAGAAGGTCTGATTCCGGAGCTGCAGATTCGTATCAAAAATGGCAACTCAATGGGAAGTTGTCGGCCGATGTTGGGCTTGACTTCGCAACACTCGCGGAAGCTGTAGAATCAATTGACTCGTTGTTCATCATAATAATTGAGACTACTATACTGGCGCCTGTTCGTTCTCCTTTCGCCATGCCCTCAGAGTTGACAGCGTAGACGCCGTGTAGGGATGACTTGCGCCCAATACCTGTTGCCGGAGGTCAAAGCAAGTTTGTAGTAGGCCAAGAGCATCTTCGTGACGACCCATGTCCTTCCAAATGGAGGCGAGATTCTTCATACTAATCGGAGTATTGGGGTTCCGTTGACCTAGCTTCTTCGAACACAGTTCAAGTCCTTTGGCTTGTAGTACCTCCGCGTCCTCCCACCGGCCCTGGTTCCGGTACGTCAACGCCAGGTTGGCCATGCTGCCAGCGTCCAGGGATGATCGGCCCCGAGCTTCGTCTTGAACGTCTCCATCACCTGCACCTCCAGCTTCTCAGCCTCCTCGTATTGCGGAGGAATTGAATGAAACCCGCACGGAGCGGGAGCAGCTCAACAAGCAGCTCGAGGTTCTCCGGAGTGGCTTGGAAACGTGCAGGCGCTTTGCAGGGTTCAGAATCAGTGGAGGTAAGAATTAGTGTCCTGTTATCACTGCTAAATGGATATTATAACGCTCTTCAGACTCGGTGTTTGTTTCTGTAAAGGAACCCGATAGTCTCAACTCCATCCATAACTCTCACAATGGTTCCGGACATACTCCAGACGCCAACTCGGACGCGAAGCTCGAGCTGCGCCTGGTGAGGTCAATCTCCCCACCTCCGGAGCTTGCCTACAGCTCAGCTCTGGGCCCGAATATGGAGTTTACGCCTGCCGAGGTCGATGAAGAGGCACAGGAGGCGTCACATGCAATGGCGGCTGAGATTGAAGTGCCGAAGGACGATTGGAGTTCTGTTTCACCCGTAAAGACAAAGAAGGGGAAGAAGAAGTCAAGAGTGCTGACCCATTCGATCCTTGGATCAATGAAGGAGGGCTTGATTGAGTCGGGCTGAAACATCGAGGTGTATGACAGAGATCAATTCATGCATGTGGATGCAAGCGATGAATCCTAGCAACGCACTTGTGTCCTCAATCCCCCGCCTTCCAAGCTTGCCTGTAGCTCGACTTGCACCGGGTGCAGGCTTCCGCCTCAACTAGATGGTTTGAATGGTGCTAGGCGTCGGGAAGTTCAACTGCCATATCCCTCATACCTTGGTGTCGGCGGGATCCTGTCGGTGATGCTACGGATGCCTATAGCGGTCCAAAGTAGTGTGTCTGCCCGTCAGCAGGATCGTCTTCAGCTTGACTTTCGACTACGGGGAATGGACCACAGCATCACGTAGCATAGCATCACAGAGTGCGGCGGCGTCGCAGCGTCACAGGGCTGGCATGCAACAAGAGTATCAACGAGATGGATAAGCGGGTTAGCCCACCTGGATTTTATTAGGGCAGCGTGGCTCGAAGACAGCGTAGCTTTAAATACGCTCAGCGTTTGATACGCGTCGCCCTTCAGAGACCCCCATTTATCATGAGCTTCAAAAATTTTCAAAACCTGCCTGGCATTGTGATCGCATGTACAATGAAGTCTTTCCCCAAGAGAGCCATACCCCGCGTCGCAAACACCAAACCTACACTTAAGCGGTGGCGAAGTATAATCCGTATTATACCGTGCTAGATTCCATTAAGGTCGATACTTACGGGAATCTCAGGCTCCTCGTGACGAGTCAGGCGCAGATCCTGCTCCATCTGTCTGGCAAACAATCTACCTCGGGAAATGAAGCAGAGCACGCAGCTCCTTGTATGAGGGCGATGCCGCAAGGGACCGCTGACGTGCCGGGCGCCATGGTCTGAGGTCGGGTGGCTGCCGGATTGGGAAAGAAGTCGTCGTTGGTCAGGTCGATGATGACGGCACCTCTCCTGGGCACGTCAAGATTTGTTTCCCTGCGCGTTGCGCGGCCAGATACCATTGTCTGAGGTCGGGTGGCTGCCGGACTGGGAAAGGTGTCGTCGTTGGGCAGGTCGATGATGACAGCAGCTGAAGGATGGTCGTGTCCAGTGTGAAAGTGGTGGCCGATGCGGGCATGTGCTTGGAAGGCGAAGAAGAACGCCGGGATGGGGAAGAAAAAAGGAAGCCGACAAACCAAAAGAAGGGGGATTCGGACAGATTTAAATAGCCATCAGGAGCCGGACGGTTGCACTGCCTCAAGTTATTGAAGATCGCAAGTGGGCTCTTCCGAAGCTGGCCGAATCATTCTGATGGTGAGGGCGAGTTCATGGGTTGGGCGAGAGCTAGGTTGTCGTGGCCGAGTACAGAGGAGCTAGTACAGACAGGGTAGCATAAAAGGGGAGACTTCACGCAGTATACCAGCCGATGCTGCCCTGGGCCGTGGATACTTGTAGTTTCGAACGGCGGGAGGTGGGAAAGCGTCAGGACAATGAACTGTACGCTTGGATGTTGCTTGAGAAAGCCCATCTAGAAAGGTAAATGCCATCATCATGCAGTAAGATTCTCGCCATCGCCAGATTCGGGACCTTTTTGGCTTCCGGGCCAACCAGACCACTTGTTTACTACCCTTGAGAAGGAACTCGCTCGGATATATTATGTCCGCTGATATACGCACAAGGTAGAAATTTACAAGTTTTGCAGAGCGAAGAGATGAACAAATGAGCACAGACGAATCAGACGTTCATCACGAAACGTAGCTTGCCCCAGTTCTTCCGGTTCTTCCGGCTCAAGAAAGGTACGGAGACGAGTACACGGGTGTGGACAGCCGAGGCCAGTCTTATGGTACCTCTATTCAAGGACACAATAGATGTCTTAGTTTGCGGCCGAAACAGCGATACGGAATACCAGATTCAATGGGACTGCGGGTTTGTTCTTCGTCTTGATGAGGAGACGGGCATTCGGCCACTGACAGGAGATATTATTTTCCACTACAACCTCTTTTGCTTTGGAGCGGCAGGGCAGGAGTGAGAAGTGGATGAATGTGCTGGCAAGACGGGAGGAGCTGTCGAAAGGAACTCGGGTACTGTTCTGGGTGAAATCTAGAAACTGACTCATCAAGAGATCCACCTCCCGAGAAAAATCCCTGATCTTTCCTGGTCCTGTATTCCGGCTTGCCCAGCTGCCTCTGAGAGTATACGCGGACCTGGTGCAACGACGAGTTGACAGCAATGGAGGTGCGATAGCCTTCATTGACGACTTCAACGCGTGAGTTACGGGACCCACGGCACAGAGCAACCGGGAAGTCATCGAGGCCATCATCGGGGAGGTTTTAAACTGGAAAGAAGGATTGGTGCAACGTTCGAGGTGGAGAAGACAGTAGTCATACACTTCACCCGCAAAGCATATAAGACTGACGCCTAGCCATTCGTTATCAAGGGAAAGACTCTCAAACCGCAGGATCAAGTCAAGACTCTCAGAGTGCGAAATAACATCCATCCATCCATCCATCCATCCATCCATTCACCCAGCCAACTGCAGCGGCGGGGCTTCCCGTATAGGCCGGCTCTCGTCATACTGCGGTCCATTCAACCGACGTGGGCCGTGGCTCCGGCGCTCTGCTGGAGGCTGGAACGGCACGGAGCAGTTTGTGGAAACAGAACCCCGAGGCACCTGATTGCCCACCATGGTCATCTCTGAAGCAGGCACGGCCCGTTCATCACCCGCATTCGCCGTCCCTGTCCACTCTTGCTGGGATTGTATCTGTGGCGGAGTGGGAGGAAAATTGTCGACATGCGATCCAGACATGCTGAAGCAATAACAGGTGTACACGCTATATGCTCCTACAGCGACGAGCTGGTTGATACAGTCTGTGTTGACCAGTCTACAGATCCACCGTGCCATTTCTCTTGATCATGCTGGCTCTGGCTACCAGAGGCGGTGGGAATGGTTACTGCCATGCTGGGTCGTACGAGAACTCGGCAGAAGGCGGCGAGCCTGATGGAGCTAACCGGCGTCCATCGGACGCGCTGGAGCTCATCCAACTGAGAATGTCTCACTCGCGCGCTGGTAGTCGCGGGGATGCATAGCGGCGGCAAGAGTAGGGAAGATCACGAAGGACCTTTGGCTCAGCGCAGGGCTTCAGGATTGCATCCGGAATTTGATCGGAGCTGTTGGAGACAAAGCGGAGAGCAGGGGAAGGAGTTGAGGGCCGGACACAGGGGCCGGCTTTCTGTACTTTCTCCCTCTCTCCTCACTCACGTTGTCTTTTCCGTTGACGTATCCGCTTGCCGCTCTGTCGCCTTTTTCAGTGCCACACCGTGACAACGCCGACAATGACTGACATGGCTTCGTCATCTGCCTCCGTCACTTACCCCATGCCTCCAGCGTCAAACAAGCGAGATCAAGGCGCAATTGGTGCAGACCTCATTATCACCTACTACTCCGACCTGGCTCAGTGTGAAATCCTCCCAACTGGCTCGCGATACACTACTTCGGGGAGCTTCAAGGCCGGGACTTTCCTGCCATTCATCCAACCCGCATTCATTCACGACCTCTATCCGCGTCTACTCAGCACCAGGACGAGGAAAGTTCCGGCATTCCCATAGTACTCTCCATGTTCAACGGCGAAGCAAGAAGAGCAACTTAGGAGGACGACTGGGAGGGGAAATGGTTCAGCATCGTCGCCCGACTCTTGCCGAACAAACTTACCTTCCACGGCGTCAGGCTGGACGGATGGGAAGGAGAGGAAACCGAGGTTGTGCAGGTGGCACTGGCACTGCCGCGTGACGGCGGCTTGACTCCGTACGTCTCCTCACCCTATACTGAGCCATCCCTCGATGCTTACACTCCAAAGCGTCATTCCTCGGCAGCTCTGCGGTAGCCATGAATCCGCTTCCTGGCCAACCTCCTCAGCACATGTCTCCTTCGCCGGTCCTGTCGATTTAGATACTTTTCATATCAAGGACGGCGTCTGGCCGGAGCCGCTGCTCAAGACGTCGTTGTTCGTGAGGCTCGGATCTTACTTACAGCCGGAAAACAACCGTCCTCCCCACAAAGGCGTGCACATATGCCACGTCATCGTCGTCTTTTTGGTGGAACAACAACCATGGAAATCTCTCCCCGAGTGGATGCGGACAACAGCGAGCCCCTTCCCTAGAGGGTCGTGGATCGTATGCAGCGGTCGCCTCCTCGGTGTCCTGGACCGCAGTCTCATTCAAGGCCCTCAGCTTATCGATCCCACTGTTCGGATTCTGGTTGTTCTTCCTGACATCTGGGAAATTGTTTGACAGAGTGCCTTGTCTGCGAACACGTCCACGCCAACATCCTCGCATCGTGCCAATCGGTCGCCCACACACCATGACCAGCTGACCCTGGGGAAATCACGAGCAGGAACCCGTTTTCATCTCCGCTTCGTCGTCAAATCTGTCTTCCTTGAGGACAACTTCTCCCCCCGAATCAACCACCGTTGAGAGTGACACAGTACCTAGGATTTTATCTTCCGGTATGTCCCGCCACTTCCATGTCAATGGCGAGACTCACCATCAATTCAGATACGGATCTCACGGACGGTGGTTCAGATACAGATCAGTTATTGAGCGAACAACTCGCCCCGAGCAATACTCACCCAACGAAGACGAGGAAGGGGCCAAGCTCTCCCGAGCCGCTCAGAAGCAAGAGGTCCACGGCAGGAAGAAAGAGACCGCGGCTGTATGATTTAATCCTAACATCATTGGCGAAACCACCTTTTCTTGACTTCACCAACATTCTCAATGACCCTGACGACAAAAACGTGATGACATCGTCGACGTGGTTGGGCGGGAAATGGGGGAGGGACGAATGCCTGGTGGAGATAGTCGCATACTGCCAGCTGAAAGCAGCTGGATTTACCGGTGGTGGAAAACGTTTCGTGCATCCCAAGCACTTGGTCAGCCGCCAGGTTCCTCCAGGCTGCCTTTGGCGGGCCGCGCAGCGGCACGGTCTCACTTGTTAGATCGGGGTGGCTGGTTTGTTACGTGGCGCAACGGGAGAGATAGAACTAAATTTAAAGAATAAAATTCGGGTTGTAAACAGGGTTAGATGAAGGGGTGTGTTCTCCAGTATGCAGGCCGAACTAAAGGGGCTTCTTGAGCCTCCTTCATGGCTTGAAGCTGCAGTTTAGTGTCCTTGAGCTCACGGCAGGCTCGGGTAAGCTGCTCTCGCGCTTGCGACAGTTCTTCGGTCAACTGGGCCGTCATCTTGGCGACCTCCTCTGTCATGATTTTTCTGATTTGCATCTGAACTTCTGCCTTGATGATGCCCAATTTGTTGGTGAAGTCACGATCCACGGGTTGCTCTGCGCCTCGGATTCCCTCGTCCGCTCTCTCGGCCGCTCTCTCGGCCGCTGTGGCCCGAACCGTGCGATTTTTGTGGTTTCTCAACACTCTTTCAGTACTATTTTCTTCCTCCCAGTCCATATCGTTTTCTTGTTGCATTGACTCCATCGCTCTCTTCGTTTTCACCCTCTTGCGCTGCGGGCGCGACATCCCACTCCTGGGGATCCCGAATCGCCTCTCATGACGTCGATGACGTCTAAAGCGCCGCGCGCCGCACCAGACATCTGGAAAAGACAAAATCTTCCACCAGGTGCCTCAAAAGAAGAAAAGAAGATCGGTTTTGCAAAGATCCAAGTAAGTATTCCGCTCCCTTTCTGAACTGCAATAGTTGCGCTTCTTCACGTGGTGTTTGGTGTCCGGTACCTGTGTAGTTTAGGGTTAGACCGGTGTCGTATACCCAGCGTCTTTAGCATACGTGGACTGCTTCTCCGATGAGCCTGTGGTGTGAGCAGCGGTGGCAGTACCCGAAACCGCAGATAACAACGGGTCTGTGCTGGTAGCGTGCTGGTAATTGGGTGTTCTTGATGGGAGATTAGGCCTTCTTGTACCAACTGGCTGGTGAGCTTAGCTGCAAGCTGGTTTGAGACTGGCGGGTGTGCATAGGCGCCCCTGAACCAGCTCCTGAACCAGTCTCCTCAGTTAGATACTTCGCCGTCGATCACCACGTTATTCCGCCGTTGACAGCTCCTCATGTACCTCCCCCCCTTTGCCGACCATGCGGGACAGTTGGATTCCCATCCACAGCCGAGACTAGCAACGTGCACCTGCGAACTGAACTTGTTGAACACTGTTCCTTCAGTCACCCCTTCTCTACGAAGTCGCCACATCTCCGCGAGCGTTACTCAGCCTCCAACCAGCCTTCGGTCACGCGTCGTCGTCATGCTGAGCCAGGCCACTCTTGATGTCTGTTCAGGAGCAACGGCTGGGTTGGCTCCGAAATCTGTTTCTAAGACATTCACTGACGTCGTCCACGAGATCTTGTAGGACCCTCGCAGCCATACCCTTCTTACCGATCAAGTCGCCGCAGTGCTTCTTGGCTTGGTGCTCGTCTGTTCCAGTCGAGATAGCGTCATAGACGGCGCCCATTTCTCTTGTTCTTCGGCGACACGTGCAAAAAAATCGGCAGCCAAGCGGTTGGAGATGGGCTCGAGTTCCGCCGGGACCTCGGGGAATGTCCTTATATCGCTCTAGGGAATAAGCGACGCCGTATGTCGATCCAAGACCTTTCCAGTTAGGGAGAAGCTGACGGGCATAAGTTGAAGCCAGATAGAGGGCAGCGACCTTGACTTCAGTTGATCCGTACGCCATCATGAGCGGTACGATATACGAGTTCTCTTCAAGAAGTGTCCGGGTGGGGTAAATGAATCCCCAAACTGATAAAGTTCGTAGCTATTTTGACCATGAACAAGATCACCCAACGTCCACCACCATCCAAGAATCATCACTCTGGACTCCTTGGACGGGAGACACAGCGATGCAGTCGCTCGTCTCGAGGATTATAACTCTTGATCATTCAGTACTCTGCCATTGCCGGTTCAATCCCGACGATTCATGGACAAGATGGCGGAGCGATGTAAACTCTGTGGTGGCAGCGGGTATCAAGGTCCTTATAAATGTGGACTTTGTGCAGGCCCTCCTCAGGAGACGCCAAAACCTCCTGACGAAGCGCCCGCCCAGGAGACACCAGTAAAGTAAGGTTGTATTGTGTACGAGGGACGTTAAATAGATGCTGACTGGCGTTCACTTGTTACTGACCTGGGAAAAATAGGCAGACAGGGCATTCGGAGAAGAAATGAAAGTAGGCGATCTTGCTGTGTTGGCATTTTTTCAGCGTTGCATCCTACTTACTACTCCTTTGCGCCTTACTTCTGTTTTCTACCATCCATTAACTATTATTACCTTTTCTGACACGATAACGTTAAGCAAGTTTCTTCGACTCGAACAGTGAGGTCATGCCACATGCCGCTGGACCGGGGAGGTACAGGGTCAGGGTGCAGGGTGCAACGTGCAGGGTGCAGGATCCAGGGCGTGCGGTAGCAGTTTGAGCTGCATGTTGTACGTTGAGCTTCAAGGGTGGATGTGTGCCTGATCGTGAACCTTCAAAGCCTCGTCTGGTTTCGCCTGTTCTCGGCAGCTGTATCATCTGTAGTTCAGTGATTGCAACTTGTCACACAGTGCATAAAGCACAGTCCAAAGCGGCCAATCGCACTAAGGTAGCGAACCAGCTGCCTGCTTCACAACGAACCCGGCATTGATAATCCATCCGATTCACCACCAGGCGGTCAAGCAGCTTGCCATCGCATCTAAATATTGATCAGTTTAGCAATGGCTGACGCCGTCCGATTGAGCACTGAGAATTCTCAGGGGATCTACGAGCGGAGCTTCAGAGCATGGTCTGCACTTTACCATGCCGCAATCGACCAACCAGGCCTTCCAGTCTCTTACCTCGACATCCAAAGCGCGTTCCGTCAGCATCCCTCGTTCCCACGCGACCTGCGTCTAGAGCATGTCAAGTACGCCAAACACAGCCATGTATATGCGACGGGCCGTTCTGTTTGGGGGTCGACGCATCCAGACTGCGAATATGGATTACCGCCATTTCACCAACAGGTGCAGATCGGCGTCGTCTCAAGAAACCCCATACCGCTATCCGTCGCGGCAGCACCAGAGCGCGAGATGCGCTGGGCATCGTGGTTCGCACGAGGTGACCAGAATTATCTTGCTGTGCTTATCTTGGCCTGGGCATACGTTCTCTCTGCGCGGTGGGCCGAAATTATGCCCGAGAGTGTTTCAGTCGTTTATACGAGCAGCAAGGCAGATGACCATAACCCGGACGCGCCAACGACCCCTCTGCCGGACCACCTCAGCCTGGAAGTGGACATCAGCGATGCTGGTCCAGACGAAGCTCGATGGTGGGCAGCTGTACTCGCTCCGGGCCAGGGCTGGCAGGCGACTATGTTGCTCGGCCAAGACACCTTCTTTGCTCCTTGGTCCGTACGGCTCCAACCAGGCTACCGCTTTATGCTATCAACGAAGTCGGCCTTTCGAGGCGATTTGGCAGTGGCTCCATCCTTCTCAGAAGCCCTCCGGTTCCTTGGAAATTTCTGCGTTCGCCGAAATATCGCAGATCAGAGTCAGGCCGCCCTTGCCGCTGTTCTGCTCTTCCCATCCATGGGCACCGGTCAAGGGCTGCAGCTGCCAGCATTCGCAACTAGCCGCCTAGATGGCCCGACCGGAGTTAGCTCTTCCGTTCCGCAGCAACAGTGTCAAGATCTCAATTGCGAGCTCCGGCATAGCTGCGTTCACCAGGGCGATCGCCTAGATAGGCTCATTACTCTCAGCTGCCACATCAGAGGAATTCGACCTATGCTGCTAAGCAGCTTTTACGATCCTCGCGTTGAATGCAACGCCGTTGCTCCGTGGCTCCAGGGGGCACTAGCAGCCATTGACGTCGTGGCTCAAGACAATCCTCTTGTTCTCGGACGCATGCTGATGGACCGACAACCGAAGGTGGCGCCTCTGTGGCTCGGCATCACAGTCCTCGGGCTTCAGAAACGACTCTTGCAGGACGTTGGTTCCGGGCTGATCCCCATCGACCTCCACTCTGCCGTATGGTCAGGGACGATACAGTCCTTCATCCAGGAACCCGTTTCGGACCCCCTCGTGGCAGACGGCCAGGTAGCCCGGGCGGACCAGTGCCGGTTACTCTTTCTCTCTCGGTCAGGATCGCATGACCGAGTACCTGTCTGCCAATGGAGACCGTTTGGCGGGACACCGCTTGAACATACCGATGTTGAAGTACGGGTCCATGCCAAGTGCAAAGGCCATGGGCTCCGATATCAGGGGTTTATGTGGGACTCTGTTGACGGGAAGACAACATACCAGCCACTCGACGCTGAAGATGCCTACGCATACCCAAGCCCTCCGCTTATACAACAGACCCCAAGTTTCAGCCAAGTCCCCGTTAACTACGGAACTTTCGACAGCGAGGAAGATTTTGTATCAGAGAACGCGACACGGAGCATCTTCGGTTGGTTGCGTGTCGACGGGTATGCACTGGGTGAAAAGGGTATATGGACACATGCATGGTTGGAGATGTCTGAGTCTGACGAAGAGGTCGAGGAGCAGAGTAAAGACAGCTCTGGAAACACGCCTAAGTCTTCCTCATATGTGGAAACTTGGGTGTCTGAGCTGTCTCACAAGTCCTAGTACCGCACAAAGGGACCTGGACTCATCATTTCCCGCTCCTATCACCATTCTGTACTAATGCTAATCTTCTTTCACTCCTATCCTGGCATTTTGCACATGAGAAAACCCAGTCCTGCCAGTCTCAGCCAGTCAGTCGCTTGATGTTGTATGCGTCAACCCTGCTGCACGCGTAAGGATGGTCCCGACACCACTTGCAAAGCACATAGCCTGCCTCTATTTCCCACTCTTGATGGCTGCCTGTCTGGCAGACCTTGAACTTCTTCCGACAGCCCTTCGCTTCGCAGGTATAGTAGTTGTGCTCGTTGTTGGCGTGCGAACAGACGTTGCACCATCCATCGACGCCGGAGCTTGCGGACATTTTGCGTGTTGTGTATGTGTGTACTTATGCAAGGGCTGTTAGCACTGATTTCGAGTTGGCAATTCCTCGGTGGTGTGCATACAATCTTGAATGATATTGAAAGCAGCGTCATGAAAAGGGGATTTGATGAGTCGATGACAGTCTGAGAGGAGGCCTTTGTTGCGACGTCGGTCAAACATCACAAGCCCTTCCACATCTGGGCTCTGCACCTAGCCTACTTGTCGTCGTGGGCGCTCTCGAACTTATGCCACCCAACTGGCATGACACCGAGCCCGGCGACGTGATTGAGCAGTGGGGGCGTGATTGCCATCCTTCCCCATGGCCACGATCGTTCGGCATACGATCCCACGAATCGGTTTGTAGCCGCAGCTTGCTGTAAGCCATTGGCCCCTTGAATGTTGGCTCGCCCACCGTTCGAGCAACTGAAGTTAATTGCACGCAGCTGCGGACATGCATGACAGGCTCTCTCTCCGTCTCGAGCATCATGTCTACCGACATACGTGTCATCCTATTGGCCACGGATGTATCCCCGTCTGGGCCGTGCGGGACAGCACGCGGCAGACAGCACGCGGCACACAGCACGCGGCACACAGCACACGATACATGGCACACGGCACACAGCACACAGCACACAAACAGGTCTCAGCCTGCAGGGCCCACTTGGATGAAGTCTGCAGGGTTACAAGGCAGCCAACAGCGATGACAGGTGTGCCAACAGTGCACAGCTCGACTTCAGTGTCAACTACCGATTGTGTTGTGCTATAGAGGTGACCTTCGACACAGCGTGCAGCCCATGGTAGGGCAGCTTTTCGGATTGGCTGAGATGGGCCTCGTGCGGGACAGCCGGCTACAGGTGCACCTCTAAGCTGCCTGTAATTGTGCACCAGAGCCCGCACCGCAGGGCATAGAATCATGCACCTGCACGACGATGGAGGAAGTTGGGCCGTTCATTTCGGGGATGCGGTGCTGAGATTTAGAAGACCCCTGACAGCTGCGTCTCAATCCCAACTTTGCAGGCCGGCTTTTCCATTCAACCAATATCTTCGCTCTTGTCCTATGCCGCGTTGGCCATCAAATGCTACCAGCTGCAGAGGGCGTGCGCGGCCCAACAGGGGAGCGCGTGCGGCGGGATGGCTGAAACCAGAGAGGGCCTTGTGGGCTTCAAGGTAGCAACTGCCTGCAAGCCACAGTTCCAAATGGTGACACTTTTGCATGCTGGCCCATAGTAAGCAGAAGTCCTAGTGAAATGCATAGGGCGCCTTGTGCCCAGATAGGCGCATGCAGCAAGGCTCAACCCCTATTAGGGGGGCGAGCACTCACGTAGCATTATCAAACATCACAACTTCCCTTAATCGAGGGGTAGGACGGTCTGTGGCGGTAGAACTGAGCAGAGGAGCTCTTGCACATAGCCAGAAGACAGGAAGGAAGAAGGCCGGACTGATGCCTGATCTTTTCACGCCTGCATCCTTGTCGGCCGCTTCCAAATGGGTTTGGTTTGGCTGGATGCAGTGAATGTTGCATCAAGGTGGACTGGGGCCCTCAGGGGAGGGTGGAGTACTAAGTGGGTCTCCTAAGATCGAAGAGTGCACAGAAACATGCACAGAAACATGCACTTATCGCCGCGGCCCGCACTCAAGCCTGACCAGCGTCCAGAAGCGCGTCTTGTCGCCGGCATTAACGGATCAAAGTGCGTGTGTTTGCAGTGCCAAAAGGTCTTCTGCTTGGGCACCTATGGCCCCATCACCATTTATCCGAAGGTGTGGGGGGAGCCGAGGAAAGCGGGGTAACGGCAACAGGTAAGCGTTAGGCATCAACGACTCGGTCCAGAGAGCGCACACAACTTTGAGTGGCACTCTGTGGTCATGGCCTCCAAGGATCCTGACCATCACAATCGAGAACGTTGCTGAATATACTGAGATGAGCCTTACGCATGTGGTTGAGTAATTGAGCAGAGTTGTGGTGGGGTGGTGGAAAGTGGCGCACTCGCTTATCATGGACATTATCTGTTGCTCAGCGATAAGATTTCTCTGACCTTAGGTCCTAGCCAGCCACAGTTGAGGTTTTTTATCGCTTGTCAAATCAAATTGTACATGGTGTAATCTGGTGGGTGCGCCACAATCGATAGCGACATCCCGAGCCAGCTGAGACACTACAGCCACCATGTGACGCATAGCTTTAGCCCGCAAACTAGTTTTCGTTCTAGGTCGTTACCAACTGATGGCTCATTAAGTAGCAAAAGCAATCTCATTCAAGTCCGTCTATAAATACAAGTAATCTGCCACGGGCCCTCAAGAGCCTTGCTTTTCCAGGCCATCACTCCTCAAGTCCAGAGATAAGCACAGCATCATCTGTTATGGATTGGTCAGCCGTCTCCACTTCGGCATCTCTTTGTTCCGCTTGTTTTGTATATATTGCCGATGCTTCCGGCCCCGCGCAGATTAGCCTTTGAATCTACACACACATCTTCGCAGACCCTGAATCGGCCCAACATCATCTGATCTATCACTTCACCAGTGTCTTGGCAAATCATGAGCTTCACAACATCCGCAAGAAATGTCTGTCTGGATAGAGCGTCTGATACCAACAACCATCGTTATGGCGTATTCATTCAAGCATCGCTAGCTAAAGGCGGCGACCCAGGCTGGCAGGCCTCGGAGAAACGTCTTGACGATAATATCAGCAACGACGACGGCTGGCTTCACTATACCGGATCAGGTAGAGGCGGGTTCAGTACATACCTGAAGCGAGTCTGGCTTTTGGACAGTCATATCCTGGTGGCAGAATTGCCAGATACTTCGGGACGCTACCACATAACAGCAATGGACCTCAATCTTTGCCTTGCCAACGACAATGGCAACTTCCTCTGGACTGCGGGCGGCGGGTTATTGGACAATAAACCAAAGGCCTGGGAGTTTGATGAGAGCAAGCTTGGAAGCCATACACAGAATCCAGTCAAGGGCTCCTGATGTGTTACGACCGCAGCTCACAGATGCTTAGCATGGGGTCACACGGAACGGGACAACCATAAGAAGGGGTACAATGTAACGCCACCAACATAGCACAAGAAGGGATCAAAACAATCTTGGACATAACAAACATAGGGGCAGTATACCTCACATTGTCTAAATAAGACCACAGTCTCTACCATAGCTGGACAATAAGAACATTCGGTTCTGCAGTAACCAACTTGTCACGGGTGGGCGCAACTGACCACTGCGTAACACCCTCAAAAGAGGGACCGTGGTTCGAACTGTCCAGTCGAACCAGGAGTTGCGCACA